CCACGTGGAGACCCATGCCAGCACTAAGATGCTTCCACTGCCACTGGATCCACAAGACTTTCCACCCACTGGCCTGTGATCTTCCCGCACTCAATGTCTTTGCATTCATTGCATGAGTCTGAAGAGAAATTTACAGACTAGTTTTGGACCTATGGGCTAATACTGGTTTTATGAACTTGATCTGGACTGGGCTGGAATGCTTTCTTAATATACAATTGCTCTTGGATATAAAGTTCTCTCTTACACACATAGGAATCTGCCTGGGTTTGTTTCTCTAGTCAACCCATACTAACACAGCCTGCCTGCGCTTTTCTCAGAGGTCACTTGGGGTTCAAGGTGTTTGGGACTCTGGGGAGACAAACTTCAAAGAGGAAGGGAAAGTGGCTGGTTCTGAAAACTAGCACGCCAGCCATCCACTGGCTGCTCAGTCCTCAGAGTCTGCCAAAGAGGAGTGAGCAGACAGACTGGCGTGAACGCTCAGCTTCCTCCCTCTCCGCTCAGGCTCGCCTGGGCTTCTGATCCCCGAGTGCTCAGCCAGAGTAATGGAACTTACTGCAGAGAATTAAAAGGAAGATTGTGGATACAAAGTTCTCTTCCTCGCTCACTTTGCTATTATCCCAGACGTTCATAAACATCCTCTCGCTGGATTCTCCCAACCACCGTGTAGGATAGGAAAGGCATCCTTTTTTCTATTCCCCCAGGAAAGAGTAGGTTCATCTGTGGCTTCCCTTCTAATTGATGGATGAGGAAGCTGCTCTCAGAGAAGAAAAATGACTTGTCTAAAGGGAGTCCTTCTGGCGTAGTGGGTCACCAGCTGGTCTAACTTCAAGGTTGGCGGTTAGAAACCACCAGCTACTCCACGGGAGAAAGGTGAGGCTTTCTACTCCTGTCAACAGTTATTGTGTCAGAAGCCCTGTCCTATAAGGTCGCTATGAGTGGGAATGGGCTCTGGACAGCGCGTGGGGAAAGTCTGGGTGTGGGGCAGGGGCTTGAAGGGGAGCTGGGTGCTC